TTTCCAACATAAATCTGAAGTGCCTTTATACATTCTAGACAATTTCTCTGGTGACATATACTAATGGCACATCATTTTACAAAAATTCTCTTTAAGATTATAATGTAGCGTAAATTTCAATTCACAGATCTTTTATCAGGAATTGAACTCATGGGTCATTTCATTTTAGGTCACTATATACAATCCATTATCTTTAGGGACAATAATAAACAATAGAGAATTACATTAATTCTCTGAATTACTATAATGATTAAACCAATCATGGCATTACATACTCAACACTCAAAAGCATTATTGAGGAGCAAGGTTTTCATCAGTTTCCAGAAGACCATGAGAATATCAGCCAGCCTTATCTTGGGGTGCAAACAGTTTTACAGGAGGGGAGCTCCCATAAAAGATGCCCAATTCTTTAAAAGCAGAGTCTTCTCTCCTGGGGCTTTGCACTGTTGCAAAACTCTGTGATACATGGCCAGTATATGATGTGTTAAGGGAGAAATTCCCTTAGAAATAGAGTAATCTGGGCTTTTAAAAAGTTTAAAAAATGACAGAAGTAGCTTTCAGACACTTCATAAGTTTAGTGAATTTTCTTGCAGATTTTTTACTAGAAATTTGAATGAAAATTTGTCAGAATCTAGATTGGTCCCCCATAGCAAATAGTTAATAGATCAGCCTTACTCCTGTCTCCTTAGTGATGTTCACACTGTGGCTGGATGATGGGATGGTACAAAAACAGAGAAGAAGAATGGACGAGAAAGGGATTGCAAGATTATTAATGGGAGCAGGGCTTAAATCAAGGTTTATAGGTCAGACAGAGGAGAAGGAATAGGCCTCATCAGCACAGTTCCCTTTTCCTGGGTTAACATGTTAGACTAGGAAGAACAACAGTTGGATTCTTATCTCTTTACCCAAATCTACTTAACAAAACCATGAGGAAAGAAAAGAGAATGAAGGAAAGTGAATTATGTACATTGGTCTAAGCTCTTTGGAGAACAGAGGAAAGAGAAGAAGACTAGGTCTCTCCATTTCTCTTTTGCCAGGAACATACACTGGTCCTTGGATTAAATAATCTAACCCCTGAAATTAAATTGTAAGAATTGCTGTGCATGATATCTTCTTTGCTACATAGTGCATGCTACAGTGCATGCTAATTAAAACAGCAATAACTTCTATAATTAAACACAATTTATTCCTTCCTTATAACTCTGAAGCAGGATAGGAAGAATATTGATGCTTTTGAACTTTGGTGTTGGAGAAGACTCCTGAAAATACAGTGGACAGCCAAGAAAACAAACAAATGGATCATCAGACAAATCAACCCAGAGTTCTCACTCAGGGCGCAAATGGCCAGGCCCAAATTATCCTACTTTGGACACATTCTGTGAAGACCTAGCTCTTTAGAGAAGGCTCTAATTCTGGGAAATGTGGAAGGAAGAGGACAACTAGCAGCAAGGTGGATAGACTCAGTTACAGTGGCAATGAGTGCACCATTGGAAGACCTGAAAGACTAGGTTAGGGACAGATTGTCATGGAGAAAAACTATCTGGTCGCTAAGGGTTCAGTGATGATTTGATGGCACATAATCAATTAATTCAATATAACTTTGAATAAATATCTTTATGTTTTTCGGTTTGGTTGGGTTCTTTTGAGGTGCCTTCAAGTCACCCTTCACTCTGGGCAACTATCTGGACAAGTCCAAGTATTTTTCTTGGCATTTTCAGAAGGGGTTTGCCATTGCCCGGTTCCTAGGACTGAGAGATAATAACTGGGCCAAAGTCATCCAGTTGGCTTCATGCCTAAGGCAGGACTAGAACTCACAGGCTCCTGGTTTCTAGCCTGGTGTCTTTAATCACTACATCAAACTGGCTCTCTTTTATATATTTACCCCAATATTTTTCTTACCTTCCATTTCACTTATCTTCAGGGGTGCAGGGGTTGGTTTCTCAATCAGAGTTTTTTCAGGAAGGGTGATATTTTTATAAATAGATCCATTTTCACAGTTCTTTAGTTCCATTTTCCTGGGAAGAATGAAAGAAAAAAAGGGAAAGCCAAATTAATACTTAAAATTAATGCTTGACTTACATAATGTTCTCGCCTTCTTTTCCATGATAATTCATAATATTAGATTTTTGAACAGAGTTCACTTTTTTGATCCAGCAGCTGCATCTGCATCTCTAGAAAGTGAAACTCTCACTACTGGCTCTCTGGTTGGAGTTCATTCCCCCTACCCTAACAACCGAAAAATTAGATTTTATCTCTTAAAACATAAATACATATAAATTAAATAAATTAAATACATATAAATGCGGACATATAAATTTTAACTGTTTAGCATATAACTCTTCAACTTGAAATATGGACACCAGAAGCACATGGCTGTATAGGTGCAGTATGGATTTTATAGCATGTTAATATGCATTTACTTCTTTATTTATCTTTTAAATAAGAGTACCCATTTTAACATTGTCCAGTGGCAAGGATGAAAGAATATACAGCAATGTAAGACAAGTTATTTGGATGGATTTGGGCCTAAATTCAATATTTTTGTATCAACAGAGTTCAAAAGGAGTAGAGATCTCTGGTCATTTAAAAAAAGGAAGTTGGAAGGATCTTGTGGCCTTCTAGATGTTTGATATCTTGAGAGATTTTAGTAATCTCACCTGATTAAAACATATACAAGAAAAACAGTATTCTTTGCAATAGCTTTCTCCCTGTTATTGCTAACAGTGATAAAGGGCTGGGTTCACCACAAAAAGATTAGACACTGAAAAACTCTGCAACTGAATGGAGAAAAAATAAGTTGTACCTTTCTGTTACACCGCGGCTAAGTATGGTAGGAAGTTTCAGCTACAAAAAAAAAAAAAAGATTGGCCATGAGTTCACAGCATTGGCAACATTCTTCAGGGTTCAGTATTCTACCTTAAGTATATCAAAATATGGAAGAAATTAAAACACAATGTTATACATAAACACTATAATGAATTTAGTCTAATGAATAAAGAGGAAAGAACTAAGCTAAGCAAACCTAAAATTCATGCTAATGATACACTACACACAAATAGCAATCTTCAGCAGCCCCAAGTCAAGAAGAAAAGACAAAGGCATCTCATATAACTAAAATATTAATTCTGGAATACAACAGTCTGGGTAGACCTTACAACATTAAATACTAGTTGAGAGGTATAGATAAGTTTACTGCAGTGCCTTTTTATCTCAATGATTTTGTGTTCCAGTTTGGAATCTTGTACTACTCCTTATGTTTTGCTTATATTTTTAATGTCTGACAATGATATGCCATTGATTTTCTAAACATGATTTCTTTTATCTTGTACACTGCTTTAAATATTGAGAGATCTATGAAAAAAGAATGTTCTAAATATGAACTATTTGAGGTCCTTTAGAGGCTGCTGACTCTAAAGTTTGTTGCTACCCTAAACGACCTTTAGTCATGTCATTTGAGGCTGACGGAAGTCACATAGTACCAGCAGACTACCATGATGGCAAAGGCATAAACCAGCAAAACTCACACGACATATTACAGAAGGAAACAAATCCTGTACTGCACATTTCATCCCAGTATTCAGTTCATGAACAACGCTGAGCAAGAAGAAAGTTCAAAACCACATCTGTATGCTTCTGAAATATTGCAGAGCACACCAGAAGCAGCCCTTGAGAAATATGCTTGGTAACTGGTTTTTCTAACACTGACACTGAAATGCAGGTTAAAAAAAAATCTTATGAACAAACCATATTTGTAACATGTTAAAAATTCATAGTCTCTTAACAAATTTCCCCTTCATTTTTAAAATTTGTTTCCTTAATGCCTTTTTCTACAAAAGAGTAGACCTATTCCAACAGGCTTTCTTGCCAAAAAAAAAATCAGTTTGTAAGCCTGAGTTCTGTTTTTTCCAGACTGTGTATGTCTCGAGCCAAAAACCATCCCATTTGATTACACATGCATTTGGAATTGCTCATTCTGTGAACAACTAGCTGACCCCTGGAATGGTTGTTATACTAGGAACAGTTACCCTCTCGGCAGCTGAGGCCTACACAGTACTTGTTTACTACAATGGTGTTTTCTCAGATGGAAAGCTGCTGCTACATGACATAATATTAGTAGAGGCGGCTAGAATTTGGAGGGAGCCATTTACTGTGGCTTGGAAAGAGGTTTGAAAACTCTTTCACTTGTGTTAGGTCTATCTGATGACTTGCACACCATTTTTGCTTTGCTTCCCACTGCAGATTGGCAAAAAGCGGTCCCTTTGTTGTTCAGTAGTTTAAGCTGAGCAATGTCACTATGATTTCTGGGAGCTTTCAGCAGTCACAAAAAGAAGGTTGAGAACTAGATGCAACCATACGTTGCCAATTCATAGACCACTTTGTAGCATCTGAGGTTGTATAAGCTTACCTTGTTTAATTTGTGAATAACTGAATTTCCACCTGGAGTACACTGAAGCAATTCAGAAGAAAAGGCAGCGTTTGCAATCTGCATACATTCTTCAAGGGTCTTCAGGAATGTAGTACAGCTGGAGTTCAGTAATGCTCCCATATTAATTCCATGCTGCAAAATTGGAAATTCATTTACTTTTCAAGCATTACCCAGTTTTTATGGCTTGCCAACTTGCCACCATCATTATCCCAATTGCAAATCTTCAATATCAGAATTCATTTTTTCCAGCTCAGATTACATGCATATGCTAAATATTTATTTATTTAGCACCTTAATTAACTGTCCTTCATTACTTAAATTCCAGGATAGTTTGCAATTAAATAAAAGTACAGCAATGAAAGCTGTATTTAAAAAAAAAAAAAAAAGCTAGAGTAGATTTTTCTAGTTTGGGAATATAGGGGCTATCTAGGGATAAATGTTCAACTAAAATAAGTTTAACCGCTCTGGAGGACATGGAGTTCCAAAGCAGATCAATAATAAAACATCATTAATTTGATTTTAATTTTAAAAATGCCTGGGAAAAAACAAGTGTTTTCCCTTCCATCTGACAAGTAATGGCAGGCAAAACTTCTTAGGAATTTTTTGTTGACATCTGTCTCTCATGGGGGATGTACCCAAAGGAAGACCTTAAACAATTTTAAGAGTATTCCAAAGTAATGATGCCTCCACCAAAAAGACCCAAACTCTCACGTTTATTTGTCAGTCTTCCTGACACCAAAGTGCCCAGGCTGATCTCTGATATTGAACTTGGCACTGAAGGTTCATTAAAAGCAAGAAGAATGACTCAGGCTGCACTGTTGACTGTCAGGACACATAATGTTTTTAACCTAGACCTTGTTATCTAGATAGATCTGAGGCTACATGGGAAAACTCAGGAGCTTCTACATCTGTGGAAGAATTCTGCCAATGTGAGCTGTCAGGATGTCTCTTGCCTATTTGCCTTTCCATTTAACTGGGCAATAGGGCAGGGCAATCTCTCACATCCAAATTCATTCTATATGTAATGACCACTTGCATGAATAATGTGAATAAGAGGAATGTACATGGCTTATCTCTTCCAAGAGTACACTTACTGTTACTTCTAACCAAACATGATAGGTACTGATTAACAAACACGATAAGACTGATGTCCTGTCCAATTCTCTGCAGCCTAACAAAAGAAGGCCTTTGATACATTTTAGAGATATATATCAAGCACCTATCAAGCATCCTATTGCACAGAATGCACCCAGGTATAGATTTCTTACCACTTCCATATTATGTGTGTGTTAAAATCAACTAACAAACACGCACGCAGATACATTTCATGGTGATCTGAAAACTGTGACTCAGAAAATCAAAAGAGCCAGGCTAATCTGCTTTTGGAGGGCCTGAATTCTATTTCAAAGCCAAATACTAGATGCTGTATAGAAGCTACAATGAAATTTTAATCACATGTTTCTTTAAAAAAAGAAAAGCCTGCTACTAGAGCAAAGAATTACAATGACATACTCTGAATGAAACATATCTTCTTGCAAATTCTCTCCATGGGATGCCTATCACTGAAGTCCTATACAAACATCTCAGCTCTAATACTTTTGACAAGGGGAGACCTTTTCCAGTTCATATTACCTGAACATGAGAACTAGTAGCTGCTTTAATTTTTTCTACTTGCTGAACCAGGAGGTCACAATATAACCTAAGCTCTGCCATTTTTGTTTTCAATATTTCAGTGTTTTCTGTAAATTCTAAATTAAAAAAAGAAAAGAAAGGTCAATCACAGATATTAATCTTTTATTTTAATCAAAGGCATCTCAAATGCCTTCTGAGCAAATACATATTTTTCCAAAGAATGTTATATTTAGAAAATTGACCATTTAATTATTGTATGACGTTCTGGATGGTCAATACAAAGGAAAACCATGGAACCAAACTTGATATTAACTAACAATGTAGTGTATTAAATTTTGACACTAAAATAATATGTAAAGTTTCAAATTAGAAAGAGTTGTCATGACAAAATAGAAAGAAACCAGATCTTTTTTTAGATCTTTTTTTTAAAAGATAGACTTGATAGGTTATAAATTTTCACTTGGCAGAGATTAAAAATATTTGTGTAAATGCAATTTTTATTAAAACACCCTTTTCTTACATTATATATTAGTAAAGTAAACCCCTTTTAATTAGCTGAAATGACTTATAAAAGAAGGAATTAATCCATTGTTGTACAGTTGTTAGAAAGTCAGATGCTCAGGAGACATTCATATTTAAATCCCTACTCAGCATAAACATCACCGAGTCACAGAGATGACCTTGAGGGAAATAGGAAAGAACCTTTATAAAAGCAAAGAGGACTGACACATTTCTTAAGTCCTGAGAAACAAGATAGCATTTAAAAGAGGCTCAGGCAGATCCCCCCTCCCCCAATTCATTGGGGTATAAGAGGGAGGAGAGGGTAAAGCACAAACAGGCTTGCAAGACTCTGTTACTATAGCCTCTCTCAATAAAGTGTAGTTTTAGTCTTTCTGTAGAGTTGGTTGCCTGATCTGACCTTTGTAGGGCTGACACCGGCTTAACCAAGCTCACAGCATTGTTTTGAGAATAAAAAGGGAAAGACAATTATATATTCCACCTTTTACCTTTGGAAAAAAGGTAAGATATACATATAATAAATACATTCACTAAATAAACTTTGTTCAATTTTAGTAGGTGTGGTTAAGATTTGTCACCTTTCGATTCAAGTTTAAAAGCCCCTTCCCCTCTGTGCTGCAAACAAATACCCATTAGATTTTTAAAATCTAATCATAGATGTTTATATACCTAAAAAACCCAAACTCAACCTTATTTTCTGTACTCATATAGCAAAACAGTTCACAGATAAATCAACACTTAGTAACTAAAAACTTTTTGCACTAAAAACAAAGCCAGATGTTCAACAAAGCTTTCATGCAACAACAAGTAATACAAAGATTGGAAATGCACATAAACAGAAAATGATACTTTGGGGGAAGCTGAGAAATACTTCACCAAGTTAGTCCCCATATGAAAATTGCTTGCCTTTTTCTTTCAATGTCCGAATATCTGTCAAACAAGCCTTGGCAGTTCC